TAAAATGTACAGTACGATCCCAATATACATGCATTTACTTTCCACATTTTCAGTTATTTGCGACACCTCTTCCCCCCCCCCCCCATTTTTTGCCCCTTTGGAAATAATAGGGTTCACTATTGCTCATATAATTTAAATGGCCATTTTGATGTCTTTCACTGGATTGCAACACTTGGCAGAAATGGATAACTAGATTTCAATCTGTGTATGAGCCCTAAAGGTGCAGATCTCATCCTGTTCCATAGCTTGCAGCTTGGGTCCTTCACACCCCACTGTTGGTTTCCTTGGGAAAGAATAGGGTTTACCATACTGGTTGGGCTATGCAGATACCCTCTTATGTGCTGAAGGTATTCAGCTCATCACTGTGCCGCTGTCACCGGTTTCTTCCGTTCAATCCTTCTTTGTCTGTTTTCCTTATGTTTTCCTCCATCCCTCAAGAAACACCCAACACTCATTGTTAAAACATCTATTAGGAATTTATTACAACACATTGTTCCCAAATACAAAAGAAAGGAAAAGAAAGAGAGGGTAAAAAAGCACTGCTGTTTACAGCCTCCAGTAATAAATAAATAAAGTCAAAGCAAGGGCAGAGTGTACCACTCCATCCTGCCAGGCAACATCCAATGTCAGCATTCCTTTAGCAGGCAGAAGGGGATGCATTTTGGTTACCATGACTCATGAGAGAAGGAAGGGAACACACTCACAGACTGAATGCAAGATGTTCATCCCTCACCCACCCCACCCTACCTGTAGCCCACCCCAGACACAACTCAAAATCCATTCCCAGAACAAACAGATGTTGACATTCAACTCCCATTTCATAAGTAATTCTTGCTAATGAACTCCACAGCCAGAGAAAATCTTGTTCACCTGTTGCATATTTTTGCAGATTCCAACCTGTTCTGTATTTGTATCAAGGGCTCAACATCTCAAACGCCCTGCATTAAAGTTTGTTCATGAATATTTGGAAAGTAGGAGAACTTCTGGAACAGAAATGTGGAGTTGCAGAGAAGCGATCAAATGGGATTCTAGATATACCTCCTGAGAAGACTAGTTTGACTCAGTTTCTCCACTTTCCAAAAGTATTCTGAGCAACAATAAATGCAACACACTACAATGAAAAGACTTCCTTTTGCATTTCCTTCCCCAGCTTATCTGGTTTTTATTGCAAAAAAAACCCTTTACATGTTGAGTGTTCTAAACTGATTTGCTAGGAAAGTACTGTGGCAAGAAGGGGATGACAAAAGCCAGATAGTTCAGTTCACCAATGTTTTCTGTAATACCAATCCCCGCCCCGCTGAATACTGAGAAGGCAAGACATACTAATTTCCACTGGGATACTAGTCACCAGATGATACAAGGTCTGTAATGAATTTGGGGTGTAAGATGGAAATGGAAAATCCTTTCCAAGTATCAACAGGCCTCAATTTCTTCACAACCCAAGTGGTGATTTACAGTCAGAATTGTCCATTACCTTAGCCCATATAGGAAACATGGTGCTTTTAGCATTTGGAGAGCTATAATCCTTGGCATGTTTACCTAGAAGCACTTCATTGGAATTAGCAAGATTTTACAATTATCCTATGTGAAAAAGCTCTTTATTTCAAATAAAGAGTCATGTGTCTTGAATCTCTGCAAGTCAGTTTGAACCTCGGTAATTTGAAAATTCTTGTTGATTTGAATGCTTTGGGATGTGTTTATTTTTCTTCTCTCATTAGGGACATATTTGTATAACAACTATTGTAGAAAATATGGATATGACTTTTTGGAGATTGTTATAAAAACACAATTTCTAGGGTCCCAGGAAGTTGCTGCACTGAAATTAATTTGGGTTGTAGCCCATGGTATCCAATTTTGGGTCCTTCAGTGTTGGAAGACCAGGATTCTCATAATCTCTGATCATTGGATACACTGGCTGGGGTTCCTGAGCTCAAAGTCTAACAACAGTGGGGACCTGGGGCTTGAATCAGTGGCTTTAGAAAGAAGGAAGCTTATTAACACCTTTCATTTCTTTGTCATGAAGTACTACAGTATGACCCTCATATCAGTGGGACTGGTATTCCCACTTTCATTTATCCATATCCAACAAAAATATGTCCTTCATAGGTATTTTCTAGGTTCTCCAGATTGACTCTATAGTATTCTTGGGCCAGAAGTTCTTAATTTCAATAGGGTTCACTATTATCCACATTTTCATGTATCCATGTGAATGTATACCCCACAAAGGAATGTATACCCCACAAAATTTGGGGGCCTTACTGTACTTAATTGTATGAAATCATTACAGACCTCTTCACTGTGCCATCTACAAGCATTGTGGCTTGGAGAAAGCTTCTTTTTTGGCAGAGCTTTGAAGAATCCATAGTTACCTAAATGTAAGCTCAATTCCACCTCCTCCTGCTGAAGACATCCAATGACCATAAATGCCACAGTACTGACCAGCTTTAACCTGGGCCTGAAGCCAGGGAAGGTGGTGATGGGACAAGCCCACATATACCCACAACAGAGAAACAAAGATCAACATACATATAAGAAAAATTACATAATAATAATATAATAAATACTTGAATCTATAATTCATACATTGCAATTACAACGTTGATAGCTTATTATCGTTAGCATTAGGATCAGGAGGAAGGCCGGAAAGATCTCCTTGTAAAGGGATGGTGTCCAGTACAGAAGACAGAACAAGAACACATGGGCTAGCAGAAGAAACAAAAAGGAAAATAATAATAAATAAAACCAGAGAGCACGCATGAGGGAACAGTCAGAAGGGCAAAGAAACACAGCACAGATCTGAAGGAAAAACATTTTTTTTGTTATAAGGAGAAGATGCTGCAAGCTAGAAATTCACCATGTAAGATATGGGTGGTAACACCCTTGAATAGTTTAACTCATGAAATAATGTCTAAGTGGCATTCCTTTCCAATTCATTACAAAAAAGTGTTAGAAGCAGGAAAATGGCATTTCTCCAGAATCAATCTGCCACCCAAAGTAAGCTACTTCATGCTAAAGCTGATCCTAGACTTACATTTCAAGATTTGCATTGCAGACACCATATGCCACATTGTCTCGCAAGCATTCAGCCCTACATGGAGCATAGATTCATGTGTAAACATTTTAAAGAAAAAATTGAGAATATTATCAATTGGTATTCCATTTGAGGCAATATTAAGATCTTGTTATTTCCCTTAGCAATTACAACATCTAAAAGACTTGATGTCTGTGTTGCTGTAAGACAGGTGTAATCCAGGATGCAAATTATTTCCCCTTTTCATTTTGATTGTCAACTGGTGGGGTGTAGTAGATAATATCTCTCCCACCATATGAGTGCATACATGGTATTATGGTTCTCATTCAAGATGCTGCCGAGTCAGAAAAAAATCTACTTTAGACAATGGGGTGGACAAAGAATGGGCATCTTATTACAACTGGATGTTATGATCCCTTTGCATTTATTTACTGGTAAATTAGGACTACAATAATAAATTGCAATGCTGCTGCTATTTCCAGGAAAAAGCATATACTAAGTCAACAAGGGCTTCATTTTCATCTCACAGAAGGCTAGACAGCAAGAAAAGCTTGAGGGGATAAGCTTGGGTTAACTTGAGTTTTGTATTTCCTGCTATACAACCTTAGCGAATTAGGCTGCAGATATTGAGACCTTTTGTTTCCCTTTCCATTTTGGGAGGAGCGAGTTCTGCAAGATGACAGCAGTATTCTTATTGTCCTTCCACAGAGAAACTATCTGAGGCTTAAGGACTGCAGCACATGTTCAGGTTCTAAAAAGAGCAAGATTTTGTCTGATTTGATATACAGTACTGTAGCAGTTTTATATAATCACAGTGCTTGCAGTCCTGACATTTGGGTATTGGCTGCATCAGACCCTGTCCACTATTCATGTTAGCATGGAACAGATTTCAGGGGTCTTCAGCATTGTTATCAGAGTACAAGCTGTTAATCTTTGTAACTAAATAGGTATCAAAATCACACTATCCTAGTTTACCGTATAAAATGAGCTTTATAAATGAGGAACAGGGTGAGTCAGGCTCACATTGTAGTGATGTCACAATAGCATCCATGCATCTGCAGAAATTTAGGATCAAGATAATCGTATCCATTGTCATGGCCAAGATAGCAGCTGCCATTGAATGAGGTAGGGTTTTTCAGGTCTTGGGTTTTCCAATAGTGTGCCACACACAGGCAACACTGTGCCAGCAGGCAACTACTCGCTACCCTTCAGTCTCCCTGCTCCTTCTAAATTATTTCATTTGAATATTTAATTAAAAATTAGAAAAGCTGGAAAACAACAAAGTTAAGAGAAGGCTTCCAGAAACACCTTTGTTTCTGCTATAGGGCAGTGCTGTCAAACTAATTCCCACCAAGAATCACATCAGCTTTATGGTTGCCTTCAAAGGGCCAGGTGTAATTGTAAACCAATATAAATATAATTACGTTACCGTGTCACTGAAAGCCTTGCAGGTCACATAAAATGATGTGATGGGACATATTCGGCCCATGCGTTTTACATTTGACACGTGTACTTTAGGGCCTCATAAGTAAGTTTAGAAATTAGGCAGGAGTCTGCTGTTGAGTATTTCATTTGTAAGTGTAGACACATTTTTTTAAAAACCCAGCAAAATTAAAATGGTGGGGAGCATCTTGAAGGCTAGATGAGATGGCAAAGTGAGTGTTGCAATCTGTGTGTGTTTGCTTCTTTTGGAGAAGGGATTGGTGTCTTGGGCCTTTGCTTGGGTTTTGCATATGCACACTTGCGTTTTACCTTGGAATGGGTTTGTATCTCTCTTGAAAACCTGCAATTTGATTTCTATGAAACAGCTATATTGTTCAATTTCTTGCAGCAAACATTGTCAGTTGAAGCTGAAACCCAATTTCTGTCTTGTATAGTTTTAGGGGGACACCTTACTTTTCTTTGACAATGGTTTTGCTTCTATTAAATATGTTTTACACCAGGAAATTGGGTGTTTTACGAGCTAAAGTTGTGTTTTAGAGTTCAGACACCATCTCTATCATACATTTAGGTTCTAGAGCAAGTTTGAGCCCCATCAGTTTGCCATCTGAGTAATGTATTTCGGGATTAGTAACATCATAGCCACCTTTTTGGTTAAGCATACTCTCTTATATCTGGGTGGGCTGTAAAAGGAGGCTGAGATTTGGAGATTAGGTTATGAAATGAAAGCATGTTCAAAGAGAATTAGAGAACCCCTTAACTGTCAAAGGTATTATTATACTAAAAAGGAATAGTTTGTATGCAAGCTCCATGGAAAGAGGGTGGAAATTATGCACCAGTAATTTAGGTAACTCTGATTCTACTATCTAAAAGATTATTAGTCAGCAACACATGAATTCTGATTATTATATGTCAGAAAGGAAATGAATGGGTGTACTACACTTCTCAATAAAGGAGTGGAGGAAATATTAAATTATGATAATATGCTCTAGATTCCTAATATAAGTTGGAGGAATCTAGAGCATGTTATCATAATGTAATATTTGTCAGACAACTTGGAAATAGCAAACTACATATAGCCAATTACTTGTAAGCAGCTCCTTTTCTTAATAACAAAGATGTCCCTGTGTTAACAATCCAACATTACTCCTTACATAAAATGACAACAACTATTCAGTTATTAATGTAGGTACAAGGCATGGCCTCATTTAATGAGAGATGAAGAATATCACCTGTTCAAATACTAGGTCAGGCTATGCCTTTTTTATTGGATTTATATCCCACTGTTTTCCCAAGATGAGTTTTAATATGGGTTTGAAACTCAAAATAGGATTCAAGATAGCCTTGTGTACCTACTTTGGAACACAACAGCATTTTGAATCCCTTTGTGTCACAGGCTAATAGGTTACACTACCCAGAAAATGTGAGAAAGGTGAGTTATTTTTTTAAAAAAATCTGTAATTTGAAGTACTAAGAAAATCCTTTGGAACTATTATTGTAACTTAAAGTAATGCCCATTAGTTATTGATTCACATTGTCATATAATGTAAGTTGCTAAAGAGGAGCATTTTATCCACATTTCAGATACATGGTTACAAGTGAAAGACAGATTCTGAACTTTCAGCCAGATGCCAAATATGTTAAGCAGTTGTAGCCGTTGTAGGAGGTGTGACCTTACTGACGAATATGTTAATAAATTGGTCAATTTCGCAATATATGCACCAAAATGTATCCTATCCTATGCCATGACCCCATTGTCCTCTGCCACACCGCTCCCAAAATACTATACAGGCCAGCAGGATCACTTCTGAGCTTGCAGCATCTAATTCAAACATATCATGGCAAAATATGTATAACAAAATCTCTGCCTTCTGTACAGGCAGCTATTTATACTGCCAGGAAACAGACAACCTGATGCAAAAAAACCATGTTATTGCTGCTCCCTGTGGTTTGTAACGGTTTGCAAGATTTGAACCTGAGATTATTATTTTTGTCTTGTGTAGGACTCTATAGTCAATGCTTTTAAAAAATTACCATTCAGCAAGAAAAGAAATGAAAAAAAGAAATGAACATAAAGAATCTTGACTACTTTTTCCTTTTAAAAGCTACACAAATAACCCTGAGGTATTAGCTCAAAAAACCAGCATGTGATAGAAAAGGAGCAGATGTAAAATCAGTTAACACAGGGGGGGGGGGGGGAGTGCTTTCAGCTTTAAGAGCGATAACTCTGTGCCTTTGTCCCAAAAGGATGAAGCAGCATTGTGGTGTCCCTGTGTCAGGAGCTCTTGAGCTCATGTCTATGCTGCTCCCTGTAAGGGAGGAAGTGTAGTGCAGTCAGCAGTTAAAAGGCATGTTGCCCTCTCCTACACTGTCTTAATGGTATTCGCCGAATTGCCAACACTGTTCTGACATGCTTGTTCATTCTTCTGCTCTAGAATTCCATTTGGTACCAGTGATGGCCAATGTAAACAATATGGACCCCAAGTAGAGCATACTGAAAAATATCTTGTGCAACAGTCCTGTGTAGGGCCTGTAGTGTATACCTCACTTCTTTCCCATGTAATGCGGTCCCGGCTCAGCAGACGATCTGCACACCAGCAGAAGTTATACTTGCTGGAATGGATGCTCTCCACATTATTGGAGCCTTCCTCTATATAGCCAGTGTTTTACAAATCTTGCCACCCTTGCAGGGAGTGGTGACTGGTAACCATTTCCCCATCAATTAGGGATTGTGAAGTGCCATAATGTTTGAATCAGTCCTTAGTATAATTAATGGAAACTGATTCCAACACTTTCATCATCCATGACCAGCCCTGCTAGAAAGCAAAGGGAAGCAGTCACTTTAGACAACAGATTTCCACCTGCAAAGTATGACTAATGGTATGTTATTTAATACAGTATTGTATTTTTGCTATTGGGAAAGGAGTTGGGTGGATAAGAACCCAATGCATGACATTTTGACAGTGGACGCAGACAATCTACTTCTGGTATGAAAATGTCTTAAATTGACACTTTTCTAATCCGTATCTTTTGCTGTTCAACTTACATTATTTTTTCCCTCATTTTTCCAAATAAAAGAAATTTCCATGAAGGATAATTTCTTTAATCCAAACTTTCTCCAGTGATGTATTCAGATTAGAATTAAATTTCTCTTGTGGATAACATCTCAGCCAATCAACAGCTTTTGAAACATTTATAGTAAGATTTATAGTCGCAGTAATCTTCTTAGCCAAACACATGAGGGCTGGAAGATGGGTTGCTGAAGTGGAAGATGGAAATGGATCAGCAAATCCGTCCATTCTGTGCTGAAATCATCTGTCCTTTCTAGACATTCCTTTCTCAAAGGGTTATTTGAATCTGGCCATTCACTGGTTCAGCTTTGTCTTTGGACTGCTACTTCATTGGCTGATTTGCATTCACTGGAAAATCCCTGTGTTGCAGGGACTCCTTTGGTAGATGGTCAGCATGTACACAGAGTAGAAATTTGCTCTTTCAGGTGTACGTTGACCCTGGTTTACAGCAGGATCACTACCTAGGACCTAAGAATCTTAAAGCAATTTTACTATAGTACCAAAACAACACAACTCAAGATTTTCTCCCAAGTCTAGCCCTTTCCATAAAGCCTGGATTCAGTAAGACCAGTATCTGAACAGCTATTTGAAGTAGTCTACCCCATTTGTAAGGGCACAGAATGGCCTTTTTATCACCCATAATTAATTTGGGAGATACCCTGAGCTATTGGAAAGGGACTTATTCTATGGGAATGCCACCCCAGATCTAATATGCCCTCTCTGTAGAGAGGAATTAGATATAAAAAAAACTTTGTTGAAATAGTTGTAATGATCCCACTCACCCCTCCTTACTCTAGGGCTCTTTTTTGAATAGTGATACAAGTGCCTGCCCTTACCACCCTAACCCAATCCCCTTCCCTTGAGTCAAGAAGGGGAAGATTTTATGGCTTTGATTGCAGATGCAACAAAAGTAGGAAGAAGCATTAAGAAGAATTCCTGGCTCAGTTTGCCTTGAAGATTTTTCTCATCTTTTTCAAAAAATAAAAGTGCACACACATGCAGCTGCACACACCCACACGCCTCCTCACCCACACAGAAATTTCTTATCCCACTTTTGGGGGTGTCTGTGCCACTGATGTGAGCTACAGAAGGAGCCACAGGCCTAGGATATTGCTTTGAAACTCATGTTTCAGATTTAAATAGTATACACAGTAAAAACAGAGCTGGAAGTACCGCCCCAACATTGTCTGAAAATCATTGCCAGAATGAACAACTTCAAATAAATTAAAAAGAAAAGTTGAAATATTATTTGTCTCAAAAACTGTAGTAAAACCATTTAATGTCTTTTCTTTGTGTTTTTCTCTCTCTCTCTTTCTTTTATATTATATATAATATATATTTATATATGTATAAGGCTGCTTTTGTGCAGCATTAAAGAATACTAGCCAGAGAAACACAGAGGAGCATGCTCAGTATGGGAAGGGAGGATATAGAAAAAAGCCATTGAAAATTAGCCTTTCCATTTTAAGTACCCCAATCTGGAAAGCAGTCATCAGTACATAAATGTCAAGCCCTGATGGGAATGGGAGGGAACTCCCTTCCTGCAGAGGGAGTGGATGGGCCGTTTTACATCATTTCCTACAGGTCAGATAGGAAAGGATTATTAACAATTGCTAATGCACTCTCAAAAGAAAAGAACCTGCTTCCCTTTAACTTTCCCCATGCAAATCTTCTGATCAAACAACAATAATTATCCTCTGGAAAAACTTTAAATTGGTGGAAGTCTTACACAAATGTAACTCCCTGCCCCAGGTTTCTTTACCCAATCTTTGAAGCTACACCTCAGCTCTCCCATTTCCCCTGGGGAAAAGGAAGCACTGTCTACATGCGAAAGGAAAAGAATCCAGGATTTAAAGAGTTAACACACTCCACCTGCCAAAGAAGGGAATGTGGCTATGGTTCACCTTGGTGGTGGAGGAAGGACCAAAAGGAGGCACTAAGCATGCACCATTCTGTTTCTTGACTTTGGATTCATTTGTCTTTGCCGCCTTCTTCGTCTGAGCATGTGTGCCCTTTGGAAACGCACACAGGCATATAAATAACACCCCCACCCCCACCCATGCCCTTCATCTCCCCAGTTAAATATCTCACGGGGCTTTCCCTACCCACCCACCCGCACACCGATGCACACACGCTTGCTCTCAGATCTCACAAGGTGAATGTCAGGACACCTCTATGATTTCCATGCTGCCTGAAAAGCTAGACTGTTTGCTGATTTTGCCCAGGTCTTCCCGAGACCTGCTCTCAGATAAGGTCTCCTCGAATTCCATCTGGCAACTCCTTCGCTTGAACTGCTTCTCAGTGGTGGTGTCCTCATGCCAGCTATGTCGCACGTCCCGCTGCTCCCCACGCTGCTTTTCCCTCAGTCTTATCTCACAACTCGCCTGGATTGTGCTGCAGCTGAACGAAGTATAGGTGGTGGCATTGGCAAATAGAGTCCCGCTCCCATTGCCTTTGCCACCCCCCACTGCTGGGTCTGTGCTGAAGTACCAGGGGTTCTCTGATGAAGGTGTGCTAGGGGATTCCAAATGCAGCCCCCAAGTGCCAGCAGAGGTTGGAGTAGATGTTGGCTGTGCCAGCTGTTGCCCCCCACTGGGAAGGCTTAGCCGAAGTGTCTGCTTAAGACTGTCCTCCACACTGCTGCTTTTATGCATGGAGCACACCCCGCTGAAATTAAGGCTCAGCCCATGGGCGGGAGAGCCTGCTTGGTGCCTGTGCTTTCGTCTCTGCCGTACTTTAGCTTCTAAAAGGAAGTCAGGACCACTGGGCCAGTCAGGGCTATCAGGGAGAGGAGAGAACTGGCATGTGCCATTGGGACTTGAAGGGCTGTCCAGCTTACAGAGCTTGGGTGTTTCTCCTGCTTCTGTAGGACCTGGAGTCTCCTGCCTCTGCGTAGGGGAATAGGCAGACTTGATGTCTAGGGAGAAGGAACGTTTCAGACGGTTTGTGTCTTGGATGCGCTCTGAAGATAAGTGCAACCCATTCAGTCCTTGTTGTAGTGTCGTTGGTGAGAAAACCTTGGGAACACCTGATGGCCTCTCAGAGTCAATTGAGGAGATTTCCAAGGATGTGGTTTTGAATAGCTCCTCAGCCTTTTCTGAGGTAGACAGAGTCTGCTGCCAGTTGCTTTCATGTGCTTCAGAGTAATCTTGGTGGCATTCTCCCTCACTCTTCTCTCCTTGTGTCTTTAAAGCCTTCAGCAGCTTCAGGCTTCTCTCATACTCTAGGAGCTGACCCAGGAAGTTGAAGTTGGGGGATATGGAAGGCCGCCGGTCTTTGACAAACCTTCCAAAGCAAACAGAAGAACAATGTTTATTACGCTGCCTCTCAACTATATTCTTTAGTTCCTTGAATGATACATCTAACTCTGGGAGCATCTAATCATAGCCACCCAAGTAGATGAAGAATCTACCCTTCAATCAACAAACAATTATTGCATTTATCTTTTTCATCCATCCTATGTTTGAAAGAGTCAGGATGCAGCATTATACTTTCAAGACCTTTCACTATGTTTAGGCAGCACCTATTGTCAATTTACACAACCTTCGGGCTCATGAAAATTGCTTCCATAGATTGGGTCTTTGTCTATCTTACTGCAACATGTAGTACTATGCCTTTTGAGATGGAAATACTAACAGCAGAAACTTACTATTTAAAAAACCAACTCCACATCCAGTCCTGCATCTAAAAGCAGATGTATAGGGGCCAACTGGCCACAAGCCAGGAGCAAAACTGCAGGTGATATTTACGTAAGATTCAATTATGCAAGTTAGCTTCTTAATCTCTCACCTAAGGCATGGGCAGCAACTGAGCCCTCTTCAAGTTCCACAAAATGTTCCTTGCTTGGTTATATACCTCAGTTGATATATCTCAGCAAATGCTTGGGTGCAGTGATTTTCTTATGATCACCATATAGTACTCTATTTTTAGACACATGGAAAATATTCTTCATGTGCATTCTTAAGGGGAAAAAAGCTTTCCTCAAAAACAAAACCTGCCTACATGCATAACCCAAGCAAATTACCTTCAGCTTCTTTGGGGGGAGGCAGGGGGGAGATCAGCAATCTCTTCCAGAAAAAAAAACTTACCTGTAGGCATCATCTGATGACATGCCCATAGTCTTCATGATGTATGCAATGGCAATGGTGGCTGACCGGGAGATTCCTGCCAAGCAGTGCACAATCACTTGGCAGCTGGAGACCTTAGCCTTGTCTGCAACAGGGGAAGACAGCTATGAGTAATCTTGCAAAATTCTACACACTCAGACATTTTGAGCAACTGGAGGGCTTTTTGGAACCTTAAAAATTAACAGATTTATTGCAAAATTAGTGGACTAAAGATTATTTCTTGAAAGCTCATGCTGTCAGAAATCTGTGAGCTTTTAATATGCCAAAAACTTCTTTTATGGGGTTGCTGTTATAGACCAACACTTTTGGAAATAATTCTGAAGGAATACTCTTCTTAAACAACAGGAAAAGTAAGTACATAACTTGAAATAACTTGAAAGCAATCAACAACATGCTTCAGGCATACAATTTTTTTCTTAGTTTCCTTGTGCCACATAATTTTTCAAGGAAGGCCAGACAGGCCTAGATTGCCTCTAAAAGTCTCACCAATAATCTCTGGTGTTAAGTGAGACATAATTGTTTTTAATAAACAAAAGTGGCTAGATAAATCAAGCTATTTCTACATGGAACAGCATTAATGTCCCAAGTAAGTGAATCTTGAGAGTTCTTGTATCTGGAGAATTCACCGCCAAGAAGCTTGTTTTGTACTATGGAAGTAGGTATAGCTTTGAAGGACTGAAGGATGTTTTGTACACAGTAAATGAAAAATAATGTCAGGAACAAAACAGAAGTATGCTGCAGTAGGGCGGAGAGAGTGAATAGCTCAGTCATAATGATCTAGGAGGCTTCTGTAGCAACACCACAAAAGCATAGTCCAGAAGAAAGAAAAAGCTCTCAGTAACTGGTTAGCAGGCTTACCAATGAACTCAATGGATTTGTCCAACCAGGGAAGAAGCTTCTCACAGTAATTGTCATTAACCGGAATGCGCATGAAGTGACTGTCACATATGAAGTCTGGCTTGGGACAAGAATTGCTGGCATTGAGGACATAGCTTATCCCATTCTGGGTCATCAGGTCCTGGGCAAGAGTGAGACAAACAATGCAAGTTAGTCCAGTACAGAATCTTTTCATTCACTCTTCCAGGGGTTTGGCTCCATCTCTCCCTGCCTCCTTCTACAGTGTTCACTCTGCAATCTATGGCCGTGCTATCATATAGAGGTGCGGTATATTAGCTGACAGTTTGGCAGAGTTGTCTAAGAAAGAAAAGCTAAAGGAATTCGTGGTTTTTGCCCAATGGAAAAATTGAAGGTTTCCACGAGGAAGTAAAGATGCAGTATTGCACAGATGCTTGCTGTATGCTAAATTTCTAAAGAGGCAGTCTTACACAAAAGTCTCTGGGCTCCATCTCCTATTACATTCCTCCCATTTTCAAATAGTGAAACTCAACACTATGGTTCCTCTTCTGAGTTCATACGGCTCATTTTTTTTCTTTCTGAGCAGTTCTTATGAGACAACCCTAACCTCAGTCCCTAAGAGCAAGAAGCCAAGCTCACATTTCTGGCATTTTTCTCCCTCATTTACTTCTACTCCCTGCATAAAATGTTTCCTACTCTCCTTTCTGTGCTTCTAGTTTAGATCCTTCCACTTAACCCTCCCCTGGGACAAGAACGCCCAACTGGCTCCCTTCTGTCCAGGATATGTGCCCACTGGTATTTTAACAACTATGGTTTCCTTCTCCTTTAATTTTATTAGGTTTTCTTTTTCCTTTAAGTAGAAATCATTTCCTTGAAGTGATATCATGGTTCAGGCATTCTGGCTCCTTTTGAAAGGACACTGCCTGTCCTATTCCTCTCCTGCTCCCAATGTACATCTTTGTCCATTTCAGAGTTGACTCAAAGGGCTCTTTGGTTGCAGATGTGGGCTGCAGGATCTATGTTGTCTTGTACCTCAATTCAGCATCAGTCAGAACTGAATGCCAAACCAATACTTCATCATCTGGCTCCAAGGCTTGACATGGAAGAGCTAAAGTCAGTGTTATTCTTTAGCTTGGCTTTCAATGGATCTTGGCAATAAACATCTGTCTCTCCTTTCAAATCTCCCAGGCTCAACTTTGCTGTCTTGATGCTCTTGATGCTGCTAATGTCCTTAACTCTTCAGAGGAAATTCATATATTGAATCGTTGCCCATCTACAAAATGCTCCCAGAAGATAACACTGTCTCTATATTTTTTTCTATACTGTCAATGGAAGTAGTTTCCCACCCAGTTCCCCAAACTCTTAAGGGTTCTACAAGGCAAACACTTCACTTGCTTTCAGACTGTACCTTATTTAAGACATCTTTCTGGGAGCCGAGATAGAGGTGAGGCAGGATGCGTGTTGGGCCAACGTTGGCCACTGGCATGCATGGCTGGGAGATACTCATTGGCAGGATTGCAGTGGGCTTCCCTTCACAGAGTCCTGGGAAGCAAGATGAGAAGGCAGCAAACCCCCCTGAAGGAAAAAAAAAATGACAAGAAATGAGACTGAGCAACAGTGAATGTTTTACATGCATTGTTAGCCCTCCACATTCACTCCAGTTAAGAAAGATTTTAAAAAAACCCACAAATTAAAAATGCTATTTTTAACCCGAGTGTAAAAAAAAAAAGTCTAAGTCCTCCAGCATAACTCTATGGTCAATGTCTAAGCTGACCATAGAGTCACACTGGAGGATGTTGAGATTCCTAGTAAGAGCATTTAATACAAATCTGTGAATAATCAAATCTGCAAAAGTCAAACCCGCAAATGTGGAGTGTCGACTGAATAAGGCATCTCTCTGTGAGGTGTGTTTAGAATCTACAAAGCTTCCTTCTTACTCTGTTATGATCATGACTGCCATGCTGGTCTTTTAAACCCTCTTTCCTTGCTTTGTCATACTCAACCTCCTTTCAACCAAGACCCTATTCCTCTTTTCTTATAATGCTGCCATTGTTTCCACACTCTTGAAGTGTGAAACACTTTTTGTACAGTATTTGCACTGCAGAGATTTAGAGCACCCCTTCAGTGGTGTTGGGCTCCAATGCCCATCAGCCCCAAATATCACTGCCAATAATCAGAATTGTTTTGCAGTGCAACAGAAATAGGAGCGCTGCTATGTTAAATTATGGCTCACAATGCATTGCTTTTATTAAGACTAACTAAAAACAAAACAAAACAGCAAGGAAGCTTTTGAGATGCACAGAACTCTTCAATTATGTACATTGACAGAATGCTATCCAGCCATGCATTTTAACCACCAGGGTGCTCTTTCTGCTTTTTGTGCTTTTTCTGCATGGCAGAGGGTTGGACTAGATGGCCCAGTTGGTCTTTTCCAACTCTATGATTCTATGAACTTTCTCAGATGAGTTAAGTATCTTGTAGAAAGGTTTAAAAAATGATCTGGAGTAAACAAGAAATACAAATAATTTACACTTTGTGAAAATAAACATGTTGCCTCAATCAGGAGACATGTGATGCCTACAGCAATGCTGTCATCAGCACTGAACGCCAAACTGATCACACTGCACGCTCTAATATGCTCGTAAAAATTCACATTTTAAATCTGAGATTAATGATTCAGGCCATTAATCATATCCAGTAAGTGCTTCATTCTTTCAGCTCTCGCTCTAATAGCAAACAGAACCCGGATTTACTATTACCCACTTCTTTTTCTATTATTGTACATATTTTTCAGGATTGACTTTTAGTTGTCCACTGATTCCAATCTGTTAGTGAGCCCACGTGGCTAACTATAATCCTTACAGGCTCTTCAGTGGAATAAATTACTTTCCCCAATACTCTTTAATGTTTTAGGGATTGTTGATCAGTATGTTACAGATTTTCAACTCATTCCAAGGCAACCAAGTATCTTAGTGAAGAGAGAAGTAATAGTTATAAACACGTAACGCTAAACAAGTTACACTGAAACTGCAGGGGGTAGGGAAGAAGCCAAAGTGTGAGCATGTGCGTGTGTTGTGTGTAATTCTAGGAAGGCAGAAAATAAATTACCTGCACTGGAATTTAGCCAGGAGTCTAAAGGATAATTTTACTCTTTTATAAATAGCCCCCCTGGGAATTTTGGCAGCCACACATGAGAAAGGCTGGTTATCTAAGAAACAGCATGCCTAGCTGTTGCCACTATTGTTATGCCTTGGTTTAGAAGGAAAGATGGTTGCCTACAACAGCAGTTTTTAAAAAACTGACCTTTAGGAGCCACTGCAAGGTAGACATGATGGCCAAGGAAACCAACTTGGTTCCTCTAAAAGCCCCAGAGCATTTGTTCCTACCCCACACCTTTTTCTATCTCACAGAAAATTCACTTTAAGGGGTGCACTATCTCTTCATTTGGGGGGCTCCCTGGATATGCTGGGCCTTGCTGTTGTTGTTGTTGTTCACTCGTTCAGTCGTCTCCGACTCTTTGTGACCTCATGGACCAGCCCACGCCAGAGCTCCCTGTCGGCTGTTACCACCCCCAGCTCCCTCAAGGTCAGTCCAGTCACTTCAAGGATGCCATCCATCCATCTTGCCCTTGGTCGGCCCCTCTTCCTTTTGCCTTCCACTTTCCCAGCATAATTGTCTTCTCTAGGCTTTCCTGTCTCCTCATGATGTGGCCAAAGTACTTCAACTTTGTCTCTTTTATCTTTCCCTCCAGTGAGCAGTCGGGCTTTGTTTCTTGGTTGGATCTTCTCGCAGTTCAAGGCACTCTCAGAACTTTCCTCCAGCATCACACTTCAAAAGAATCTCTCCCTTCGCTCAGCCTTCCCTATGGTCCAGCTCTCACATCCGTAGGTGACTATGGGGGATACCATTGCTTTAACTATGCGGATCTTTGTTGCCAGTGTGATGTCTCTACTCTTCACTATTTTATCGAGATTGGACATTGCTCTCCTCCCAAGAAGTAAGCGTCTTCTGATTTCCTGGCCACAGTCTGCATCTGCAGTAATCTTTGCACCTAGAAATACAAAGTCTGTCACGGCCTCCACGGTTTCTCCCTCTATTTTCCAGTTGTCAATCATTCTTGTTGCCATAATCTTGGTTTTTTTGGCGTTTAGCTGCAACCCGGCTTTTGCGCTTTCTTCTTTCACCTTGATTAGAAGGCTCCTCAGCTCCTCCTCGCTTTCGGCCATCAGAGTGGTGTCATCTGCATATCTGAGGTTGTTAATGTTTCTTCCAGCAATTTTCACCCCAGCTTTGCATTCCTCAAGCCCCGCACATCGCATGATGTGTTCTGCATACAAGTTAAAAAGGTTGGGTGAGAGGATGCAGCCTTGCCGTACGCCTTTCCCAATCTTGAACCAGTCTGTTGTTCCGTGGTCAGTTCTTACTGTTGCTACTTGGTCCTTGTACAGATTCCTCAGGAGAGAGACAAGGTGCCTTGGGATGCCCATCCCACTAAGAACTTGCCACAATTTATTATGATCCACACAGTCAAAGGCTTTAGAATAGTCAATGAAGCAGAAGTAGATGTTTTTCTGAAACTCCCTGCCTTTCTCCATTATCCAGCGGATATTGGCAATCTGGTCTCTCGTTCCTCTGCCTTTTCTAAACCCAGCTTGAACATCTGGCAACTCTCGCTCCATGTATTGCTGGAGTCTTCCTCGCAGGATCTTGAGCATTACCTTACTGGCATGAGAAATAAGGGCCACTGTACGGAAGTTTGAGCAGTCTTTCGCATTTCCCTTTTTTGGTATAGGGATATAAGTTGATTTTTTCCAGTCTGATGGCCATTCTTGTGTTTTCCATATTTGCTGGCATATGGCATGCATCACCTTGACAGCATCATCTTTTAAGATTTTAAACAGTTCAGCTGGGATCCCGTCATCTCCTGCTGCCTTGTTGTTAGCAATGCTTCTTAAGGCCCATTCAACCTCACTCCTCAGGATATCTGGTTCTAATTCATTCACCACACCGTCAAAACTATCCTCAATATTATTATCCTTCCTATACAGATCTTCTGTATAGTCTCGCCACCTTCTCTTGATCTCTTCAGCTTCTGTTAGGTCCCTGCCATCTTTGTTTCTTATCATACCAATTTTTGCCTGAAATTTACCTCCAATGTTTCTAATTTTCTGGAAGAGGTCTCGTGTTCTTCCTATTCTGTTGTCTCCTTCCACTTCCATGCATTGCTTGTTTAAAAATAGTTCCTTATCTCTTCTGGCTAACCTCTGGAATTGCGCATTTAACTGGGCATATCTCCCCTTATCCTGTTTCCTTTTGCTTTCCTCCTTTCTTGGGCTACTTCCAGTGTCTCAGCAGACAACCATTTTGCCTTCTTGGTTTTCTTTTTCTTTGGAACGTACTTTGTTGCCGTCTCCTGAACAATGTCACGGACTTCTGTCCATAGTTCTTCTGGGACTCTGTTTACTAAATCTAGTCCTTCAAATCTGTTCTTCACTTCCACTGTATAATCGCTAGGAATGTTAGTGAGATCATATCTAACTGGTCTGGGTATTTTCCCTGATCTCTTCAGTTTTATTCTAAATTTGGCAATAAGAAGTTCGTGATCTGAGCTACAGTCAGCCCCAGGTCTTGTTTTCACCGACTGGATGGATGTCCGCCACCTTTGGCTGCAAAGGATGTAGTCAATCTGATTTCGGTGTTGACCATCTGGTGAGGTCCATGTATAAAGCCGTCTTTTAGGTTGTTGGAAGAGAGTATTCGTTATACACGGCGAGTTTTCCTGGCAAAATTCTATCAGCCTGCGTCCCGCTTCATTTTGTTCTCCCAGACCATGCTTGCCTGTGATCCAGTTGTCATTTGACTTCCCACCTTGGCATTCCAGTCTCCTGTAATGAAAATAATGTCTCTTTTTGGTGTATTATCCAGTAGGTCCTGCAGATCCTCATAGAACTGATCTACTTCTGCTTCTTCATCAGCTGTGGTTGGGGCGTATATTTGGATCACTGTAATGTTGAAAGGCTTTCCTTGCACTCGAATTGAGATCATTCTGTCATTTTTTGGGTTGTATCCAAGCACTGCTTTAGTGAATTTCTTATTAATTATGAAGGGTACTCCATTTCTTCGATGTTCCTCTTGTCCGCAGTAGTAGATCTGGTGGTCATCTGATGTGAAGTGGCCCATTCCAGTCCATTTCAGTTCGCTGACCCTCAGAATGTCTATCTTTAGTCTTGACATCTCACCAATAACAACATCCAATTTGCCCTGTCTCATAGATCTTACATTCCAGGTTCCTATGGTGTGTTGATCTTTAGAGCATCGGATTCGTCGTTCACCTCCAGTACCGTCGGCCGCTAGCCTTCCTTTCGGCTTTGAGCTAGCTGCGTCATCACATCTGGGGCTAGTTGAACTTATCCTCTGCTCCTCCCCAGTAGCATTTTGGCCATCTTCCGACCTGGGAGTCCCATCTTCCAATGGCATACCGACATATCTCTGGTTGTACTGGTCCATTTAGTTTTCTTGGCAAGGATACTGGAGTGGTTTGCCATTGCCTTCCGCAGGGATCACGCTTGGTCTGA